AAAGTTATTTTTCTTGTCTTCAACAATATGAAAGACTGTATTAAGGATACTATACAGGTAATGAAGTTACACCAGGTTTCTATCAAGTGTTGTCCCATCAAATGCTGGTTATGTTTTGCTAAGTAATCCACTATTGTCAGAATCCCACTTCAAACTGCAATATTTTAGTCAGCTGTAACAAAAGATTTAGAAACATTTTTAGAAGGTGATAGATAGCAACAAACAGAAATGTTTATGCTTAAGATATAATGAATATTGCAGATATCCTTTTCAACTTCATGCTCTAGTCAATGTATTATAATTGAGGTCTACTGAATCACTTTTCTAGTGGATAAATCCTGTACACGCTGTAGTGTGAAGAGACATCATGTAATGTATACTAATTAAGCCATTATATCTGTAGAGAAGATCATATCTGAAATATCAAATTAGCAGGAATTAAACATCCCAAAGGATTAATGAATTGTTATGGAACCATTCACTTCCAGGTCAACAGGTTCAATTTCAGCTCAGTTTAATAGTTAGAATGAATTGATGTGCTAGAGATAACAGTTCTCTGCACCCATTCATAAATCAGGGTAAGAACCCCTGGCCTGTACCGAGAACAGCAGGTTTTAACCAGCACAGCCAGAACAATGTAGCCTGCAGTATTACGCTAGGCCTATATTTGGCATGGAGCCTTGGGCTCCGTGGGATCAAATGGCGCATTTATGGGATGCCTGCAAGACGTGTAGGCAGCCACGAGCGACACCAGAGACACACAGTCACTCCTCTTTACAGATCTGTCAACAGTCGCCAGCCCCAGCAATAAGGTGATCATAGGCAGAACGTTCGACTCCATCTCTTATTTGACTTAGTTTGGTGTCCACTTTGCTTATCCTGATTCTTCTCTCGGCAGCCTGTGCTGCTTCTAGCAGACACCAGTGGCACAAGAAGATGGGGTGGGGTGTGGGAAAGGAAGAATTGTAGCCAACTTTTATGCAGAGTTATCCTATAGCTGATACGACAGTAAATACACAACACATACTGATTTTTGTGGTGGAATTACGCTTTTTTGAGACTAAAACTACAATGTCAACAGATTTAGGCATCAGCTCCTTAGCGACGATGGGCAGTAAACAAACAATAACCAGTGTACGCATAACAGAAAGTAGTTAATAGACCATCACGAACAAATAATCCTATCTTCGTCAGGTGTGCATACAGCTACATCCAACCCCAGCAGACTGACACGGAAAGGTGACAAACTGTACAAATGTAGCAATCATCCATTTATCGATCCATAGCAAATCAAATCATCCTATCGCTTCGATTTGCTATGGGGACTCTGGCTTTAGACACACAGCACTATGCCGGGTGCCGTAGTAAGGTAAGGAATGATGTGGAACGCCAGAGTTCTAGTGCCAAATTTTTTCACTGATCTTCTGTGAAGCTTTGTTAAAATTGCTAAGTTTCAGTATCTCCTTAGAAAGTTCACCTATGCAGATATCACAGAAAAACGTAACTAGTACGTATGAAATGCTTCAAATAATCTAGAAATGCAAGTTGTTAATATCAATCCTTACTGTGGGTGACTACACGGCACCCTGCAGTATGGACTGGAAACCTAAAGGAGCCACAGGGAACTGCTGACAGGTAAGTCTCATCCTGCCACCTCTACTGCTGACCACACTTTGTGATCATCCTGCTCCACCTTCAAAAGCTCCCAAGATCTGGAAAAACACCATGGATTTTCAGCAGAAAGCATTCTGACTGCAGTAAAACAGCCCACAACACACTATTATATTGGAAATAGTTTCTCAACCAGGGGTATTAGATACCAACACCGCACTGTGAAAAAGGAGAGCTGTGGCAGCCTGCATAATACACAAAAAAAGCATCAAGCTTGCAGGATTGTTCTCTTTTAAGCACTACAAACAGAATTCCAGAACAAAGAGCATTCTAACAGCTGTTTACTTTGCTTTCCTGGCAGTTAATGCATTTCGAGTTAAAAAAAAAAAAGTAAACATGACATACCTAAAGTTAAGGAGCCATTTACTACAGGGCTGTCTTGAATGCACACCCCCTGCTTACAAACCCCTCCACACTCCCACTACAGCACACACATTAAGGGGTTGAGGGAGATTCGTACTGTACACTCCGGCTTGCACCAGGAAGCTGTGAAGTACGGCGTGCAGTACCGGTGGTGGAAACGCAGATGCATTTTTATTGATCGATCTTACCTTTTCTCACTTCAGCCACTTACTCCCTCTCCTGTGTGCCACGTGGCTTTCAAGTCCTCAATCCCTTCAACAACACTTCTAGAGCCATTTTCCCCCGACACACGAAGTTACACGGTTGCAATGAACAATTTCTACAGATCATCAGAAGCTTGCAACCACAGCATTTTCCTAAGGGATCTATTTATTATTATAAAAATTATAATTTACATGTTATAGTTTATTTATATATTTAATGTATTATCTATAACAACATATTACTATATGTACACACACCAACTTTGAATGATTATATGTTCTTTAATTTTGAAAGTGCAATTTTTACTGATGTCCCAAACCTCTGGAAAGCAACACTTCTCTAAGTTTTCTGTTCAAGAAAGAAAAAAGAAAATACTTTAAACAATATAGCCAGATGTCACGTATAATATTCAGTAAGGATTTAAGGCAAAAATGCCCTCCAAGGGGCAGATGAGCACAGGGCATTTTCTGTGCTGGACAGTCAAGAGAAGCAGAAAGAAGAAACTCCTCCCAAAGCACTTGAGAAAAATATTAGGGATAATTCAAGATGTAAAGTAAAAACCGAGATTTTCAACATTCCATTTTGGACTTCAAAACTAGTAGTTTAGTGTAGAGGCCTAACTTGTGTTTGTGTGTGTGTGCTTTACACACATACATATGTGTGTGTGTGTATGCATGTCTAAGGTTCCTTAGGAGAGAGACGTGTCTTACTAGACCAGTATAGTTGGACAAAATACAGGAGCCTTTTTTTGGACTAATATAAGCCATTACCGCTCCCTTGAATCCTTACCTCTCTCTTAAAAGCTTACCTCTCACATCACCACGTTCATGGTTACAAGACCACTTATGTACAAATTAAAAATCCTCCCTCAGTGAACTTAAAAATTACATCTCTAGCACTCCAATGCAATATTTAAAACAGACAGTAGAAATACTAAATTTGTGCAGTTTCATACTTCATCCTGAATGCTATGAAAACTCTCCCGTGTCCTCCTTAGTCTCAACAGACAGAAGCATCAAAGCTGCATGTTAACCAGGAGCCCTAGATGAGAAAACAAGCTTTGACGCTGACGCGGGAGGCAGCAGCACTGGGGTCTTGGTGTTGCCGTATAAACTAGAAGGTCCACAGGGAAATCTAAATGGTGTATTTTTCTGTTTACCTTCAGGTGACAATGTCCAAATGCTCCAGCACATCACTGAACGTCTGCTACAAAAACTCCTGTCACTAAGAATAAAAACAGATGGATGGATAATGGTCAGGCTGGACCTTCTGCCTCTTGCCAGGAGTACTGCGCAGAGATTTAACAACAGCTTGTAAGCAATAAGCAGCCAGTCTGGACCTATATAATCAGACCTAGAATCATCAACATTACAGATACATCAACTTACCTCTGAAGAGAGATAAGTTAGGTAGTTGCTGGTGTTTCTCAAAGGACCCTGGTTTGTCGACTGAAGTCAGTGAAGGAATTACTTATTTCACCATCTTTTTTTCCAACTATATTCACCGACAGCACTGAACACGTTATTTTTTTTCCTTTTTTAAAAGCTAGCATTGTGCTTTAATTGAAGAAATAGGATAAAGTCTGCCCTCTTCATTTATAAAGAAGAATGTTCAAAATACAATATACTGTAAAATGTTTTGAATGTCCCCTTCATGTAAAACCCTACTGTATGTGATACAGATTGTTGGTTTAATACAAGTGAGTAGCAAAAACCTAATAGAAAGTACCTCTTAACAGATAAGGGAATGGGATTTTCCATTTTTATTTTAATTGACTGCCGCCTCTTTCTATGTCTTCCTGCAAGATCAACATTTGAATATTTTCATCAACTGCAAAGCAGTTGAACTAACTCAAGCAGTTGAAAATAAAGACTGATTAACATACTGGCTATAGGGGCCAGTCCCTCACGAAGGGCAGAGCTTTACCTACACCGTGTATACTGGTCTCCATGGTACAAACTGTGTGCTCCAGGACGTTGGGGGGATGCTCAGCATTAGATGCTGGTTTCCTGAGAAGTCATCTTTTAGGATAAGGTACAGCTGCAAAAGCTGTGCAGTCAAGAAATCTCTTTGTATTTGTCTACTATGTAATATATTTCCACAACCACAATCACTTCTATCCAAACGGATATATCCGAATCCACTGTCATTGCAGTAAAACTGGCCTCTGATCAGGCAGGCTGATCATTTTTGAAAAGACACCAGCCATCCTTGCGAAGCATTCTAGTGCTACAAACTGGTTGTTATACTGTGGGTTTTTTCAGAAGAAAGACTTCTTGAAAATTATTTAACTCCTTTTTTAAAATTGAACTTCATGCAACCCTTGCAGGTTGCTTTGAAAAGAAATGTTGAATCAATCCATATTCTAAAATGCCTCAGAAGGAAGAGAAATCCCAGCAGTAAATCCACCTAATTAAGTGGGGGTGTATCTAGCCCACCGGCTATTACATCTCAGCTTAATATTTTTAAAAACCCTACATGTGGAACAGGCGGTAAGCTCTCCTCATTATTTCTCAAATTAAGCTGAACAGATCTAACCCAAATTACAGCAAGATAAAACAGACAGCTTAAGTGATGAAAATTGTACTTTTTCCCCTGCTTTAGGGATGCTTCTGGCTCATCTGTCCTCTGATCAAGGTGAGCCCGATAAAGCTGAAAATTGCACTGTGTGACTGGATTGTATGAGATTATCTTTCCCCTGAGAAGCGACAGATTTTAGTAACTCTTGATGAGTAAGAAACTTCCTGCTCCAACACGCTGCTCTTCTTGTGTGGGCATGGCTCCTTACTGCTTTGAGTGAGACATCACATAAAAGAAACATAGAATATGAGTGGCTGCATCTTCTTTATGGTTCAAAGACAAATTTGTGTTATAAGACAGACCTTCAGGGACCACAAGTTTCATAAAAAGTGAAAGTTATTATCATTAGTTTGTAGGTTTGACTGCAAAAGTTACTGGCATGTCTTCCACTTTTTGAGTGTGAGGGAAATCCGGTTTGGGTTTTGAGAGATCTGGCTTTGTAGAATTTGGGGTTTCTTGATCTTTAGCCGATTCCAGGAGATGTTGCATGTTAAGTTTGAAAATGAGGCGAGGATCTGGTCCAGAAAGAGATGGGCAATTGCAGCTCTCTCTTATTTTAAGAGCCTGTGAATACATAGGAAAACAAATCAAGCTCATTTAAATAGGAAAAACAGTCAGCGATTTCAGCTTTCCAGTAAGATCTGTGTTTGCACATAGGAGATTAGAGTCTTAGGTGTTACTGAAGAACTTTTCAGTAGACACCAAGAATTCCTGAGAAGAAATATAGCAGTATGGTAAAGCAATGATATGAAATGAAAATAATTTTCTCACAGACAGTCTCCCAAAGAACAGATACTCTAGAAGGTACAGCATAAATAAATAGGGAGTTCTCCAACTATGTGATACTTGTTCACGTCAGTACCTTTTACTTTTTCATTTATATTCACATGAAATAAAAATGACTGCATCAAGAAAAAAAGGGCTGTGAGTAATTTACATCATGAGATATGTTCTGTTATTGAAGTAAATATATACAGATATCTGACTCAAAAAAGGAGGGTGAAATCTCTGATAACATAATGGACATGTAAGTGTTTGGCACAGAGATCCAGATGGTCCATCAGCATAGTTAAGGTCCAGTTACACAAATGATCTCATCTCCAAGAAGCATTTGAAGACAGAGCTTCCAAGTGTTCTGAGAAAACAATGTCTCTGGAAGGTAAAATTTATCTGGATAAAAAGATTAGCACTGAGGTCAAACTTTACATTACTCCTGCTCACTGAATAAGTGCCATTGCTTCCATGCTACAGACTAGAAATCAGAGGCACAAGAGGAGCCAAAGGATTTCCCAAAGAATCAAAATCCATGAGTGCAGGCACACTCCCTCACAGATCGTTCAGTCTGAGAAAGGTACGACAGCAGATGAACCTCCTGTCTCAAAGGCAGTGGGGAGAAATTGATACAAAACAGCATAAAGTCAGCTGGTTTAAGGGATGGTAAAGTCAAGTGTTCCTTGTAATGAAGCGGAACGTACTTTAATTAGTCCATAAAAACAGGCAGCTCATTTTAGAGCTAATAATGGACACCACACAACTAAGACGTTGCAAGTGGTTGTACACAGATCTACTAGTATCTGTGAATTCTTCTACAAGACCCATTTAAGCTAATCAAGAAAAGCAAGTTCCTATGTATCATATAGAAAAATATTATCTAGAATTTTAGAGGGTTCTACATCTCCGCTGAGAACTATTTTTTCAAGGTTTGCAAAATGGAACACCAAGAAAACACCAAGTGAAAAACTGGCCTGGTATTTAGCACTAATCAATGGTCAGCTTCATGCAGTACTATCTGCATCTTAGCCTCAATTAACAGCATAAAACTATGGCCAGATTAACACCCAGCTTTATTTTTAAACCTTTCATATAGGAAAATAAATTCAAATGTGTCTTTTATTCCACTCTCTTTGTGGCCATGGAGTCTTGAAAAGTAATGCCAGACATGTCCTGAGTTGGTGCCTCCTGACCAGTACTAGGGACTGTTAGCGGAAAGAGTAGGTTGATTCATTTGAAAGAGGAAGAAGAAAGTAACAGTTTTCGTAACAGTCCTACCACTGCACTTAAAAACAGAGTAGAAATTTTAATCTGCTTTGTATACATACTAGACTTAGCTGAAATATCAAATCAACTATTCCAGTACACTTACGCATAAGTATTTGCCCATCCTTTTGAAACAATTTGGTATCCTTCCACAGGAAACACTCAGAACACCTTATTACATCAGATTTTAAAAATGAGGAGCAGAGCTGCCTAACTCATTGCTTTGTATAAGGATGTAGCGTAATATATTTCTCACTAACTTTATTACAGTGAACTGATAAAGAGTTTGCTGTAAGTGGCTAGAAACAGAATTTAAATGTAACAACTGGTGTCGGAAAAGACGCATTCCAGGAACGTGGCAGGAGTTTCTCCACCTGTTTCTTGCTGAAATGTAACATTCAAATTATTGGATGCACAGATCTGGATTAGCCGTGAAAACACTCTTGTCTAACTTCTAAAAAATACGAGTAAAGCTTTCCGTATTTGTTTTTGTACAGCACGATCGTCCGTGTAGTCACCAAATGTAACTGTACCACTGAACACACTTCTGCTTCAGTGACCAATTAATTTCTAAACTGACATTTATGACAAACCAAGAGTTTTCTCTTGTTCTCTTCCATAACATAAGCTGCTGCAAGACTGCATTAATGTCAAGCAGCATCATTCAAGGCAAATGGAAATATAAGGATTTAGGCTGTATCCTGGAAAGGGCAACGTAATCCTCTTTTAAACTAATTCAGCAATTTTAAATCTCTGGTTTTCTTGACTATATAGTGCCTGGCCTATTTCCACGGTTTCACTTATCTAAAACACTAAAGTCACAACAGCAGACTTAAAAAAACAATACTTCAGAGGTAATGCTTTTACTCTCTGGACACCTTTGTGTTCTTGCTAGCCATAAAGCTGTCTGAGCAGGCAGAGGCATCTACTCAACACCATCAGCTCACCTGCCATTAGAAAGACTCCAGGTATGAGAATGGAAAGCTCTGCTGACAGGTCATCTCGCTGTCGAAGACAGCTACGACTACACGCTATGGTGAAAGCAGCCTTTGTATGTGCATCTGTGACTATTTGGGACTGCCATGCCACATCCAACCCTAATTAGAAAGCGTTCTTTGCCTGCCTCAGATGATGACTGCTATTTCAGTTTGTGCCAGTAGCTCTGTAGTGTCATTCGGGTGCCAGCAGCAGGCTGAGGAGCTTACAGTCTCATTTTTCCTGGATGATAAAACAGCCTAACGTGGTCAGCAGTGCTGTACTTTCAACACCACCAGCAACTTCAAATCTGGGAATTTAATATTGGGTTTTGACAGCTGGGGTAAGAGGACAAGTAAAATCATTTTTAATGAAGCACATGCATATCAGTATTATAATACAAACATGTTTCACTGACTGTTTACACTGAAGAGTGGGCTTAATAAAGAAGATGGACAGAACTGAGACAAGGTTAAATAGCTGGAGTGAGAATGCATATTCACCTGAGAACTGAGAGCACTTTAGTGCTGTTCTTGACAGGTTAAGCTCAAGAGAGAAGTATTGCTGTTCAGAACAAAGACCACCTAAAGGCACACTTACTGGTTCAGGAGATTTCAAATAAAAACATCAGAACTATTGTTTGTGAGTAAGAGAGGTGAAGCTGGTTTTCCTACCAATACTATTGCAGTCACCTCCTGCAACGTGCCGGAAGGGGGGAAGGCATGAGAATCAGGGAGGTGTGCCTCATTCTATTCCTTTCATATAAAGCCTAACAGCAGAGATAAATACAGGAACAAGTAATCTTTAGTATTAATCCTTCACCAGCATCACAGACACCAGGCTAACCGCTGCATCTCGGCCCCTTAGTGTCTTTCGGGGTGCACCTCAGGCTCTTGCCTCTCTTGCTGTCAAAGCCACATCATTCTCCCATCCGCAAACCAGGCCAAGGGCTATAGTCCTTTGTGTATTAACTGACATTACCTCGGCAGGGCAGACTTACACCCTGACCTTGTAATTCTTACAAAATGGCACACGTGCGTAGGGAAAAATGTTTAAAAGTTTTTTAAAAATCAGAAACGTTGAGTTGCAAACTGAATTACAACTGCCAGGCACAGGGGAGACAACAGCTTCTGCAAATGAAGTAGTAGTAAAAAGATGATGAGAAGCATGGATAGATATGTTACGTGATGGAGAAGAAAAGCAACCTATATATAACGTGAATACTGCAACTCTTTCACTCCTTCTGCTGGCACAGGAAAAAAAAATTGTGACCAAGATATTTAACGACTTTATGGGGAAGATAGAGGCGCAGGTCAGTATTTCTTATTCTTATTTTCCTTTAAGTTTTCACATGGATAAGCCTTAACTAATATATTCTACTGCTAGAACTTTCTGCAGTAATCTTCACCTCATAAGCAGAGAGCAAATATACCAACATATTTTTGAAAAGGAAGCAGAATAAAAAAAGTGTTGTCAATATCCCAAAGGCAGCAGACGAAGGAATAAGCAATAACTACCCAAACAACAATGAAAATAACAAACAGCCAATGTGGGTTTGACAAGAACAGGTCTTGCTGAAGCAAATAATCAACTTTTTTTGACAAGCTATTTGACCTAGCAAACAGAAGAAGCAGTGGAGGTGACCTATCGCAACTTACTATTACTCTTGAAATGATCTCCACATGGCATTTCCACAAGGAAGAGTGGGAAACAGGAGTTACAGTGAGCCAAAAATGGAATCTGAGCCAACAACACGATGCCAAAAAAGCAAATGTCATGTCAAGATGAATTTTTGCGTCACAGGCGAGGCTCAGGTAGAGCTGAGGCCTCAGCTGCTGTGTAGTGAGCAGCGTGCTAGGAGAAAGGCAGACAAACTGTAGCAAGTCAGAGAACATTAAAATAAAAGGTTCAGAGACGAACTAGAAGATTCTATAGCTTCTCTCTGGCACTACACTTCCACAATTTTCCTCTCCAGAACAATGCTAAGCAACCTCCCTGCTACTACATCATAATTTTAAGATTTCTTTTTCTGAAAATAAAATGCATAGGCCTTCATCAAGCATCGCACCATATTCCATGTAGAAGTCCGTAGAGAAACACCCATGTGACCTGAGAAGTCCAAAACTGTGTCCCTATTTCCTCCAGCTACAGTAATTGGTCTAATAGTAGATATTGTATCATCCTGAAAACCATTTCGGCTTCAAAACCATCAGCGTATGAAACACAACATACGTTCACAACGGATCTGATACTGAGCCTCAAGAAGTAGTTTCTTCAGAGAGGTATTAGAAAGAAAAAGGCCCTTTTCCAAACCTATCTTCTCCCCCTGGGCTCTGAAGAGCTAACGGCTATTAATATATGGTAAACATACTGCTCTACAAGGCTCTAAGTATGTGAGCAATGAAACAAAAAGGCATTGATACTGAACAATGTCAAAGCTCTGGGATTTCTGCTAAATGCCTGAGATCCAGCTTCACGAAAGCAGCTCTCAGGTGAAGGGAAGTCAAGACTTCAGACAAGAAGCCTCCAACACCACCTCCAATGACTTTTGTTCATTTTATTCCACTTGGATAGTATCAACCTCACTTATCTAGTGAACTGCTGTTAAAAACAGGAAGACTTCAGCCCCTACTTTCTCAATCCTGTTCCAAAGAATATTAATGGTAAAAGGCAAATGAAAATATCTCCTCCTCAATTATCTTTTGGAAGAAAATTTCCTAGCCTCCACCAGTCTGGGAAGTGAGAGTGGCTATAAAAAGGTAAAGGTTGCTCCACCTGCTAAACTACAACACATAAGACAGAAACAACACGACTGGCAGCTCTACACAGTTGCTCCATTATTTAACTTACGTTCTACCCCAGGACGGAGCAAGTAACAAGTCATTTATTTCACTACCACTTCGTAAGTCAGTCAATAACTGTATGAAAATAAAGGATCCTGAACCCTTTATGTTCAATCTAACTAAAATTGAGGCTCCACAAGTATCATTTTCCATTCAGCTGCTTTACTGTGTTAGAAACATCCATCAGAATAGTCTCACAACCTGTTTTTGCCAAGTACAGAATTTGTGTATATTAATTTAAAATATTCAGTCTGGCCACTCTCCAACCTCCCACCCCTAACGTTGATTTTGATTTATACCATCATTTAGAATATTTACTGCATTCATTTTCATCAAAGGATTCATGAAAATCTTGTTTTCTCCTTTGAAATCAGCAAACACCTCAACATTTTAGAGTTCCCTCTGCCAATAAATCTTTAACTGTCTTTACAGTTGGCAATTGAGAAAGACTTAAAGCGACTGAGAGTTTAAAAAAAAAAAAATAGGAGAAGGAAGAAATTACCAGTCGGTTATAATAAAGAATTTCCAAACAGAGTTTAGCTTGCTGAAAAACAGAGCTGCTGCGAAGTGCTTTAACACCAGAATTTAAAAAGAAAAAGCTAGGCAAGGAACAACTCGGGTTATTTTCCTGCAGATAAAAAACCCCACACCATTTGAAGAAATAGTAAGCAAACTGAACTTGGAACAGTTCTCTATTCTTACACTACCAGCGAGTAGCACATCCCATTAAGAGAATCCCCAAGCAGCATTCCACTTGGCATTCCTCTGAGAGGAACTCTGAAAGAACTAACAGAGAAAAGACTGCAGATTGATGGGCAATTGCATGAATTAACTCAAGTTCCTTAGAGTGGGATAAAATTTGCTCCCCAGTGTGACGGAACAGAGATGTGAATCAAAAAAACAGGCTGCAAAACCTAGAGACCTATCAGAACCAGGGCTATTAAGAAACCTTCTACAGTGGATCCGACAGTTTTCCGAGTTACTTGAGGTGGATTCAACCCCACATCAGTGAGAGAGACAGCACAGGATGGAGCAGTCTCCATCTGACAGCATAGGGCTAGCTACCAAAGCAAGGGAAATGAGGACAGTTTAGGGATCCAACTTAAAAACTGGCTTCCAAAATGGTAACAAAATAGAAAATAAATGGATGGATGAGACCTGCGACACTGTCAAATCTATACCACGAAGGCCATTCAAAACCAGAAATAATACACTTCAATCAGCAAGTAGAAAAGAAAAAAAAACTAGAATATTTAACATTTTACCCGTGCTATCCTAATTTTTCCTCATTTAATAAAACCTTTAATGCTGAGAGCTTTGTAACAAAAAATTTCTGTAAGGATAAAGCGAAAGATAAGCACAATGCTAAAAGAGTAGATGGTGATTCAATACCAAAGGAGCTCAATACCAAACTCATTCTGGCACCCTTCCTAAGAGAAAGAGACACACTTCCTTCAACTCTGCTCACCTCTGGGATAAGCCGGTCTAAGTGCTCAGCTCTGTTCTCATGAGACGGGTGTGTGGAGAGCCACTCCGGTAACTTGGGCTGCCCTTGAATGGTTTCTGCTAATTCCATTTGTTGCCAGAATACACTGCTTGCTCGTACATCCACACAGGCCTGAAACAGAAAGGAAATGTATGCACCACTGTACTTTTAAAGTAATAAAACACACATTCTAATGGAGGTTGAATTACAAAAGACATCTTAAATTTTCAATCTCTAAAGCCTGTTTAGATGGTGTCCCTCACACCTGCCAGGAAAAGGCTGTTCTAAAACATCTAAACGCAGTAAAACAGTCCTGCAGCTAGACACCCGATTTGTTCCTTTTAACATCTACGTAACTCCACCTGTCTTAAAGAAACCTGAACTAGGCAATTCAGGAGAAAAACAGATTCACAATTTCTGGCATGTTCTTGTTCAGCTTCTTATTCTAAATTATATTTGCCTCTGCACAGTCGAGCAGAAGAACAAATTAATCGTCTCCAGAGATTTAGGAAATCTTACAGGAAGAAGTTTAGAGACAACTTAAGAAGTGATAATAAATCATACTTAAATATCTCTAAAAATGAACTGCCAAGGCTTTTCTAAAAGTGATTACACTGCCTTTTTCAAGGGTGATCTGCGTAATCCACAACAGATTAAAACGGAATTCCTGTCCCTCTCCATCAAAGTACATACTTAACCAGAGGAATTCACAGAACACTAAGAACAGCATTTGTGTATCACCAACAGACTCCTTTATATTTGCATTTAAGTGGAGGGGAAAAAAAGAACAAGATTTCTTACATTAATTTTCATATGTTTAAGAGAAAAAGAGATGACTGCTCTGAAGGTAAGAAAATTATTCCTCCCCCCACCCCCTCAAAAAACAGAAGCGATACAGAAGTGATGCTTTATCCTTTGGATTGATTTCTTAAAATTACTATAATAAAAATTTTAACTGCACAAGCAGAAAAATGCTGAGATACCACTTTGTTTCTTTCTGGTATGGCCCTACATCTTAGGTATTACAAAGCAGTGAGCACCCACACAGCAATTCCATTTTTCCATGGGGCCTACAAAGAAGCTGGGAGGGGACTTTTTACAAGGGTCTGTAGTGACAGGACAAGGGGTAATGGGTTTAAACTGAAAGTGGGGAGGTTTAGATTAGATATCAGGAAGTAGTTCTTCACAGAGAGGGTGGGGAGGCACTGGGACAGGTTGCCCAGAGAAGCTGTGGATGCCCCATCCCTGGGAGTGTCCAAGGCCAGGCTGGATGAGGCTTGGAGCAACCTGGTCTAGTGGAAGGTGTCCCTGCCCATGGCAGGGGGGTTGGAACTAGATGATCTTTAAGGTCCTTCCAACCCTAACCATTCTGTGATTCTATGACTGTATTATTCCTTTATGTGACTTTAAACTAAAAATGCAGTTTTAACCCCAGAAACAAAGGTTAATTTTAAAACGTCTTCCTTGAAGAAATATTATTAAGAAAAGGAAATCTTCCTTATAAAATATTAACACTAGATGGTGCTGTTCTCACAGTTATCTAACACGGAGCCGGCCCTATTGCACTTAAGTAGAAATAAAGGAGTTGTTTCAAGTTCTTTAAATTAAAATCTAGAGGGACAAAAAAAGTGACTGAAAAAAACTAATTATGAAAAATATGCTAGCAGTTTCTGACCAAATTTTTGCCTTACTTTAGCAAAGTCACATGATTTTTATGGCTCTATTTAAACTAAATCTTTAAGTACTAGAACAACATTGATATATTTCAAAATTATCAGCAATCACAGTATCAAAAAAAATCTTAAATTTTACTGTATTGTTATGAGAACAGATATTATAGATCAGAATATTTTAGGTGCACTACAATACAGTAAAGCATTCCTCAGAATTTCCCACAATGAGTGAAAACCAATGGAAACAAAAATCTAAAGGGCAATTTATATCTTTACATACAATTAAATATCTCACTACAAAAAACCCCTATTTACAATTCTCCTCTTTATAAATATGTATCTTTTTCTTCTAAAAGTAATAATCTACATGGAAAGTATACTGTGCAGTTAATAATACACAACTTCACAAACTTCAATTTTATTACATTACATACAATTTAGCCAGAAGGACTTCGTCTTTCCCCACAGATTGTTTTATTTCCTACTACTTCATTAATCTAAATACCTTCCAAAATTTGGGAACCCTTCCACACCCAGTTTACCTCTGTATTAAGTGTGAAATTCCCTCTGACAATAATAGAAACTGAAAAGTGGCTGGTAAAATGCTAATAAGACAAACCAGTGGTAGTTACCTTTGCTGCAAACTGAAGTCCCACTTTATCAGCTTCGGCCTCCAATGTTCTGCTGTACGGTCTGTCAAACACAAACTGCAAAGAAGCACATCAAAGCTCTATTTCTTGGGTTTGAATGCATACAAAGCTAGACCACTGTCGCTGTTTTTCTAACCCTCTCATAAGAAATGGTGTTTATCTATCAGGTTCACACAGCATGTGATAATTGTCTTAAAAGTAATCTTTAATTCCATTATATGTAATTCACTGATCCTGTGTTCAGTGGAAATTAATTCAAGTTATCGGTTATTCCTGGCCTCTCCCACCAGCCAGTCTCAGCATCTCGCAGCAACCGAATGATCAACGCCAACTTCAGAATTTTTTCACATCGCTCTTTTATTAGCATTAAGATATTTGTTGTAGCAATTCTATGTAAAAAGTTCCAGTGGCTCCCTTAAACTTTTATGACAACTGTTTTCAAGGCTGGTATGATCTCTTTTGTACAGTAAACAGCCCACAAGATGGAATGCAGCCATCAACGTTTTCATGCAGAAACCACTCCTTTGTCATGATTATCCCCCAACACAAGTTGCAAATTGCCCTTGAGAAATCAAAACAGAAAACATAAACCTGATGAACTCCTCTCCGTTTTTTCTAGGGTGTGACATTGTATTAGCACACACCAAGAGACAGTGGTAGTTTTCTCAAATGGTTATTCGACTACATATACCAGATCTTCTGGCATATGTAATTCATGTAGATTTGGGCAGCCTTGCCCTAGTTATCGGGTGATAGTAAATGCAGATCAGGACTTGTTAAAGCAGCCTGCTCCTGCAGAGATAAGGAACATGTCACAACACACTGGTTTAGGCATTGATTAGGAAATACCAGATGAAGAATGGGGATGTGCAAGGTTAGAGAAGAGAAAAAGGTTTATCAGCTCTTTATCTGGTTATAAAATTATGTCCTTATAGGTTCCAGAAAAAAAGCCCAAATAAGGAAACAGTTTGAAATGAAGAGCACCAAAGAAGTGACCCAATTCCTTGAGGGCATAAACATATCTGTAACTCTGTGTTTCTCTCTAAACTAGCACTGATATTTTTGACCTAGTAAAGAAAAACTAAAAGCCAACCAAAGTTGATCTGCTGAAGGCTTTTCTTAAGGCCAAATACACCTTGAGAAGAGAAGGCTCTGGGGAGACCTTACTGCAGCCTTCCAGTACCTGAAGGGGCTACAAGGAAGCTGGGGGGGACTTTTTCCAAGGGCCTGTAGTGACAGGACAAGGGGTAATGGGTTTAAATTGAAAGTGGGGAGGTTTAGATTAGGTATCAGGAAGGAATTCTTCCCAGAGAGGGTGGGGAGGCACTGGGACAGGTTGCCCAGAGAAGCTGTGGATGCCCCATCCC